TTCTAAAGTTTTTTTTTTCCCTATGTTCTAAATATTCTTTTACCTATGTTCTAAATTCTTTTGCCTATATTCTAAATTTAGTCTACTTATGTTCTAAAGTTTTTTTTTCTTTCCTATGTTCTAAAGTTTTTTCTACCTATGTTCTAAAGTTTTTTTTTTTTTTTCCTATGTTCTAAATATTCTTTTACCTATGTTCTAAATTCTTTTGCCTATATTCTAAATTTAGTCTACTTATGTTCTAAAGTTGTTTTTCTTTTCTATGTTCTAAATTTTTACTAGCTATGTTCTAAAGTTTTATTAGTAACAATGTCAATAATTTGTGCAAAATTTGGGATAGTAGAATGTAACGAGTAAGTAACGGCACTCAATGTAGGAATTAGGTGTATTTGAATCAAAGGTTAGCTGTGAATTAACCTTTCCCTAATATGAGACAATGCTCCAATCGTGTCATTACCGTTACATAATCTAGGTTTAGTTAAGCATAATTAAACATGCCGCTCCTGAATGAGCATAATCCCTGCAACACACAACTGAAAGTTTAATTGACAGTTCATTGTGTTTACTGACCCAAGACGGGAAGTCATCACCTTAACCATTGGAATTCCAATAAGAGGCTCAGACTTTCGAATGCACCAGCTTATTGTCCTAACCAAAACAAGACAGTTGAATGCGAAGAATATCGACAACACAAAAATGAAGGCTAAAGCAGTCCCATAATATAGAATGAACTATACTCTTTATTATTGCCAGAAATGGGGAACAAAAGAAAAGGCCAAAGATAAAATAACAAATAGAAACCAAAACACCAACGCCTAGAAACTGCCAAAAAAAAACCCGAACAAAAACAGGAAACAGCAATAACAGCAAGCAGAAACAGCAGCAGCAAGTGGAACCAGCAGCACCAAAAAATTTAGAATGTAAGCAAAAAAATTTTAGAACATAAAAAAAAATTTAGAACATAAGCAAACAAAAATTTAGAACATAAGTTGAAAAAATAATTTGATTTATTTTTATGTTTTACTCTTGAGTTATTATGGTTTACTTTCGAAAGTTTTTTTTAATTATTTTTTTAATTTTTTATAGAGATAACCTATATAGGAATCGAACCTACATCCTCTATGCATTTGCATAGTGCTCTACCAATTGAGCTAATAGGTTTTAGCATATATTTTTTTTTCCATATACCTACGCCTTTTTATATGTTCTAAATTATTTTCCTATTATCTTTTTCATCCATTACTTTAATTTTTTCCGTCTATGCTTTGAATTTTTTTTATATTATGAAAATTTTCACCCAATATTCTAAATTTTTTCTATCTATAATCTTAAAATTTCTCAATTCTATATTTTTTCACCCTATGTTCTAAACTTTTTTCCCTATGTTCTAAATTTTTTCACCCTGTATTCTAAACTTTTTTCCCTATGTTCTAAATTTTTTCACCCTATGTTCTAAATTTTTTTCCCTATATTCTAATTTTTTTCACCCTATGTTCTAAACTTTTTTTTCCTATGTTCTAAATTTTTCACCCTATGTTCTAAAACTTTTTTTTCCTTTATACTAAATTTTTTCACCCAATGTTCTAAACTTTTTCTTGTGTTGTAAACTTTTTTCGCCTTATGTTCTAAACTTTTTCCCTATGTACTAAATTTTAGAACATAAGGGAAAACTTTAGAACATAAGGCGAAAAAATTTAGAACATAAGGGGAAAAGTTTAGAACATAAGGGAAAACTTTAGAACATAGGGAAAAAGTTTAGAAAATAAGGGAAAACTTTAGAACATGAGGGAAAAATAATACATAAACTTTAATTACCTTTTTCTTCCATAAGTAATTTTTTTATCTGGTATAATAGTAATTTCTTCATCTGATTTTTCTTCATTTTAGCCTTGCATTTTGCTGTAATTTTAAGAAATAAAAAAATATTAGTAACATTCCAACATTAGTAATATATTTTAAACATAAGAATAGTTTAGAAAATGCTGAATATAGTTTAGAACATGCTGAAAATAGTTTAGAACATGATATCATAATTATATCACTAACAATTAAGAACACAACAAGAGGTATCACTAGCAAGAGGTAGATTTAATTTTTGTTCTCTTGTTGCACTAAATCTAGGTATACATTATCCAAATAGTACTTCATTAGTACTATTTGAATGGAAGCTTCATTAGTACTTCGTAATAAATGAATATACCTTTGCAATGGACATCATTTATCAAGGGCATCACAAAAACAAGTTGTTCAGGAATGTCACTAAGGATGAAAGTCTAACTGATCCGCACAAGAAGTACTACAAAAGTTGTCTTTGTAGACATTATATAGTTTTAACTATTTGAAAGATTCATTCAAGTCCAATGCATTTAAAGGTCTTTCAAGATTCAAGCAATTTCTAAACCAATAATCACCAACTTCCTCAAATTATTCCCAATTAAGGAAAGAGACTTTCTAAACCAATAATCACCAACTTCCTCAAATTATTCCCAATTAAGGGAAGAGACCTCATATAAAAATAAAAAAGGAAACGAGACTTGTTCCAATATGAATACAAAACCACCTTGAATAGAAAAGAGCTAGCATTTTTGCAAGATTCAAGCATTTATTCTGACAGTTGGGAATCAGATCTCAGTCAAGATCAGTAACTATTGGCACCAAAGCAACTTTAGCTATACACTGATATCAGATCACAAACCTCATTAGTGGAAAGTACATCAGTTCAGACTTCAGAGTAAGAGAATGAAGCTACAAGTCTCAAGCTGGCTAGATACTTGTCAGCATTTTGCAAATAGCATCTTTTCATAAACATATATAAAAGAATGGTGTATCATAAACAAGAGTTTCGAACATGCTGAGAAAGAGTTCCGAACATGCTGAGAAATAATTTGGAACATGCTAAGCTTATTTACAAATCAGAGAAGTATAATACATTTTGCACTAATAGTCTGATATACAATAATCAAGAGCAGCGGTGAAATAATTCGAACATAAATCGAACTAATTAATATGCAAAAAAATCGAACAAAATAATTCGAACATAAATAAAAAAATAAAAATCGAACAAAATAATTCACGTAAAACCACCATTTCACTATCAACCAGTAAAGCAGCATTTCATTTCATGATCATCACAAATCACACTACCGCTAATGGGAAATGCAACAGTTGATTATAAGACATATAATACTTGACAAGAAGACAAATAATAAACATAAAACCATTAACATTCATTAATAGACATTAAACTAATTGCACAAATACGAAAAAACCGCAATTGATAAATCAAACTGATGAAATCGAAAATAAAAGAAAATTGAAAACTGATATCGGGGAAAAAAAAAAAAAAAAGTCAAATTGATGAATTGCGAAAATCGAACAAAATCAACAATGAAAAATGATAAATCATAAAATTCGAACAAAATCAGGAAAATTCGAACAAAACGTATATAAATAGTAAAATCGAACATAAATCAAACATCAAACGAACAAAATCGAGTATAGAAATCGCAAAAATCGAACAAAATCAGTAATGAAAATCATGCGAAATTCATAAAATTAGAACAAAATCGAAGAAAATGTACCTGATTTGAGCAATTTAGGTTGTTTTAGCAGCAATTTGGGCTAGATTTTGGGATTTGTGGAGAGGGAAAGTAAAGAGGGTTGAAAGTTTGAGGAGAGAGAAAATATTGGACGGTTGGGGAGGGTTTAGGGGTAGGTTTTTTGTTTTAATCTTGACCGCTCATCCTAATCTAATCCTACGGATGTGATTGGTTCTTATATAACTAAGATTCTTATATAACTATGGGTTCTTACCGGATCCCTCCCCTATATATATATATATATATATATATATATATATATATATATATATATTACATTTAACTTAAATCAAATAAATACAAAATTGTGAATTGACGATTTTATAGAGGATAAAACCGCTATGTTTGGCATTGTTTTTTGTTTTGGGTTTCTAATTTATTTGAAACAAGGTATTTCCACTTTTCTGTTGTCTGTTTTTAAAATTTTTCATGATTTTAATAAATTTGACTAATTTTTTATTCATTGTATGACCTATATCATATGATTTAGAAAAATAAAAAAACAAAAAAACAAAAAACCGCAGTGATGCCAAACGAATTCTCAAGTAGCGATTTGGTGATTTAGGAGCTAAAAAAAACCCTAAAATTTTCTCTGTTTCTCTCTTCAAACCTATCCACCATATTAAAACTTAGGGGCTACCATCAATTTCTATCGATGGTAAGCCCCAAATTCTTCTTTAATTTAATGTTTTTAGCCAATAAAGATCACCATCATATTGGTCATTATAGTCCGTCCCTCCATGTAGGGTTTAGTATTGTTTGTTTGTTTGGTTTTAGTGTGTGCATTGTGCAGGAATACAAATTTGGAAGATCGTCTTGCAAATTTGTGAAATTATGGGTCTGTTGGTATAGGGGTGCAGATTTAGAAGATTTGTCTTGCAAATGATGATCAATCGAGTTTTAATCACTTTTGCGACTATACATCAACGGAGCTCCGTCAAGAATGATGCAAAGACATCTAAAATTATCCATGTACAGTTCAGATGTGATGGCATTAGTTTAGGGGTGTTTAATTCTTGTATTGAGAATTTAAATCACTTAAGGGATGATTGTAAGTGTCGAATGACTATTATTATTTAAGGGAAAATACCACCCTCTCTATTCCATTTTTTTTAAAAAAAAGTAGCGATTTGATAAGAATTTGTGCATGTAATTGTGGGGATTAAATGAATTTTTGCCAATACACAAATTCAACTATTAATATCTTTAATTATCGATAAGTAAAAATTATGAAAAGTTAATTTTTTTGAAAATATATATTGCCACAAATCCAATAGAATCCTGATGACTATACTATTCATTACCTATAAAGCACAAAATACGGTCAAATAAAAGTGTGTGTGGATAATGCTAAAGTCAAAACATATCGACTACATTAAACGGAGTTGGTATTAGCCCGGGAGCTGGACAAAATTAGCCCCATCACTAACATTTGAGAGTTGAGACGACGAATATATTGAATTATTGTCTGCTTTTTCGGCAAAGTTTAATACAGTATAAATCAACTCAAAACCCCATTACTATAGGAAAACACTTCAATTTTCTGGGTTTCTTACATTCTTCGGAATTATAATTCCATTAAAAAATGGCGAATAATTCCAATCACAGCGAAATTCATGCTCTTCAATCAATCTGCTACAAGCGTGGTTCACTTCAGCTTCTCGATCAGGTTCACTTTCTCTCTCCTGCAAATTCACATACTTTATCAATTTCTTCTAATTATTGTATCATATAATTTGTGAAAATCCCTAATTATGCTGTAAATTGCTGTTGATTTTTAACAGAGGAAGCTTCCTTTGGAAACTGTCTACTTGGATATTAAAAATGCTTCTGATGGATGGTATTTCTGTTAATCTTTGTATTTAATTATACTCGTATTAATTATCTATTGACTTTGATTGAATTTGATATTGGAACTTTGTTACCATGTTTGTAAGATGCACAAATGGTAGAAATTAGCATGTATTATGGGGTTGCATAAATTTATGTTTAACTATGTACTGTATTGTATATGAAGATGAGCAACACTTTATGGCCTGGTTGTAGAGACATTACCCCAACTCCGAATCATAGACTTGTCGAGTTCGAGTCTCATCGCGGTGTACTATATGTCTATCTGGTTGGTTGAATGTGAGAAATTCGAATTTCTAGGAAGGGTTTTTGATTGCTCTCAATAGTATTTATTCTACTTGAGAGCAAAAGATGTGAATCAATTGTATACATAGCTTGAGCTGCTTGACTATTAGCTTATTAAGTGATATAGCCGCCCGAGTGAAGAAATTTCCAAATTTATAGTGGAAAACCTATCTCAAGTAGCAATGTGCAATATATATAGCTTCTTTTCATGAACTTAGATAATTCCTGAGAACCTCAATTTATTGGATAAATTCAGTACTATTGCCAATCATCATTACTACTCGCTGTTTAGATGCCACTAAGCTTTAGGAAAAACTGATTGTCATTCTTTCTTCAATTATTATAGGATATACTTGTCATTCTTACGCAATGTCTTCTTCTAATTCAGGTTTGCAATTAAAGAAATGGTGGTTCGTGGAGCACCAGCAATTGCAATTGCAGCTGCCCTCTCTCTGGCCGTGGAAGCTGTTAACTTAGAAAAATTCCAAGGGACTGCTGATGATGCTGTTTCATTTCTTGCACAGAAATTGGATTATTTAGTCTCTAGGTTTGTTGCAAGTTGATCATATAAACCAAATCTTTGTTTGAATCAAATTTTTCTGTGTTTGCCTTCTCAAATTGGTGTGTTACTGTATATGCTGATTTTGCATTCATCGTTTATGTATGTATAGCCGTCCAACTGCTGTAAACCTTTCGGATGCTGCCACAAAACTTAAAGAAATCATTGTCAAAGCTGCTTCCACGAGTTCAGAAGCAAATGTTGTATTTCAGGTAGGATAGCTTTTTCCTCTTGTACTTTAGATTCGCTTATAATATCTTAAATTCATTAAATTCTCTATAATGGTGTCCCAGGCTTACATAGAAGCTGCTGAAATAATGCTTGAGGATGATGTTGCCTCAAACAAAGCAATTGGTTCTTATGGAGCTAGTTGCTTTGAAAGTCAGTTGAAAGATGCTAAGAAAATATCCATATTGACTCATTGCAACTCTGGGAGGTATGTTGTTTCTCAGACATCATGATCCCTGATTATATTTGTATCAAGCTATCTAAGCATGTTCCATCAGTTAGTTATCCAAAAATGTTGCAATATTGCAACATAAACTTTCCTATAATTTCTATTGGATGTCATTTTTATTTGATTTTGTTGAGATTGCTATGGCTTTTTCTTAACAGCCTTGCAACCGCTGGATATGGTACTGCATTGGGGGTAATTCGTGCAGTCCATGCCCAAGGAATCCTTGAGAAGGCCTATTGCACAGAGACTCGGCCATTCAACCAAGTAAGTTCATGTGATGTACCACACTCAAAATGTTAATGGCTATCAACTATCATACACATTACAAAAGCACAGGCCAAAAGAAAAAATGTTGACCCTGGAACAGTTGATGCTGTCTAATAATTTTGGACAGGAGGTATCTTATGCTTCCAAACACCTTTTAGCTTTTGGAAATCATAAGTGTGTGATAATATCATAACAGCCTGCTCGTGTTTTGAGCTTGTTTGCATCATTATCTAATTTCCATATAGAATTTATTTTGTATTAGAAATATGTGAGCATCCAGCAAATTATGTCAAGCCTAATAGCACAGTATGAAGTAGTGAGGAAAACTCAGTTTCTCCATGAAGGTTGCTCCTATGCTGTAGAAGGAGTGTCGATGGGTGAATAGGTCTAAGTGAATAAGTAAAATAATTGAATAGGCCAGTTTAAATTTCTGATTAATTGTTTTTTAAAATATGGGCAAAAGTTTAGTCATATTATGTGAAATAACAATTGTAACATTGTATCATTGTTTTTTAAAATATGGGCAAAAGAATAAGCATATTATGTGAAATAACAATTGTAACATTGTAAGTCTAACAGAATTGTATAGCAAGTCAGAGAAGAGTCAAAGCAAGTAGTTCGATTTTCATTATGTCATTTCACAATTGTTAGGCTCTTGTGTCTATTGCCCCCCCCCCCACCCCGCGGTTTATATGGTCCCACCCATTTTCTCCCAGCTACGCTGATAGCAGATTCTGCAGCAGCAGCCTTGATGAAGGCTGGACGTGTTCAAGGAGTCATTGTAGGAGCAGATCGTGTGGCTGCGAATGGTACTCAGGATTGTTGAAATTTATTGTGGCATGGAGGGCAGTGGGTAGTGTCATTTATTGATTTTATATGCTCTTTGCAGGAGATACTGCCAATAAAATTGGAACTTACAGCCTTGCTGTGTGTGCAAAGCATCATGGTATTCCATTTTATGTTGCTGCACCTCTTACTTCAGTCGATTTGTCCTTGCCTTCTGGAGAATCCATTATCATTGAGGAAAGATCCCCAAAGGAATTATTGAATTCTCGTGGAGGACTTGGAGAGCAAGTTGCTGCATCTGGAATCTCTGTTTGGAATCCAGCCTTTGATGTTACTCCAGCAAATTTAATATCTGGTATCATCACAGAAAAGGTTGATATTTAACCCCTACACTTTAGAGGCGTGGTGGTTTGGATGTTTTGTGATGTTGCTTATATTAATGTAATTTTGTATCATTTCATCAGGGTGTAATTACAAAAAGCAAGGACGAGGATTTTGACATCAGAGGTTTTGTGCAAAAAATGATAGCCCAATGAGAATTTTTGGAGACCAGAGCCAGCTGCTAGTTAGAAGGAGCTGTGAGAAACGATATATTGAATAGGTTTGTAACCCTGATACTTTTTCTCATAAGGAGTAATATCCATTTTCCCAAAAATGGAAATAATTGCATCATAATATGAGTTTATTCTTGTGATTGTACGGCAGCTATAAACAGTTTGAGTAGTTCGTATTATATATATATACAATTATATATTGTGAAGGAATATATTAAAAAATATTTTAATGATGTCTATATTCTTGAATCTATGTATATATGCTCATGTGCTGCATTATATTTTGATTAGCAAGCTAAATAAAAAATTATGCTCACTGGAGGTGGTGGTAAGACTGGTAACTCAAGCCACTGAGATGATTTTTTTCGATTATTAATGCTCTTAATTTGGCTTTTTACTTTCTGAAGACTTTATTTCTGTTGGAATTTGGCTTTTGGAAAACACATCCAACAGTGAACAACTCGCAACCACTCTATAGAACTTTTCCTTAATGTTAGGCTTGCATTCTAGTCCTGTGTTATTCAATCTCTTGAACACCCTGAAATGGTACTCTGCATGATCACTATGGATGAAAACTATGTTGTTGAATGAATGCAGAGTACTATGTATACAGTACAAAAAATTGTTGTAAACAGAAAATATGTGTAAATGTTGTACACTGATGTTAGGAAAATCAATGCGTGTTAACCTTAAAGTGGATGATTATTGGAAGTGCTCATAATTTAATTTTGATTTTGATTTTTTTATTTTTTGATTTTTTTTTTTTTTTTCCAATGAAGTATTATGGTCATTATGGATGAAAATTATGATAGATGGAGTCATGGATGTAAGTCATGAGGGGGGTAAAACTCTAATTCTCACAAGAACATAAGGTCTCTTTGTAGTTGCAACTAGGCCTGTTCACGGATCGGATATCCGATCCGAAATGTGATTTCGGATCGGATATCCGAAGACTCGGATATCAAAAATTGATATCCAAATCCGATTTGAAAAATTCGGATCCAAAATTTTCGGATCGGATGCTTCAGATATCCATTATCCAATATTACGTAAAATTGTTATGATTACTTTCGAAATTTCACTAATTTTACCGTTTTTTTATCGCTAAGTTGTACAAAATATTTTAACAAAAATAGTAGTACTTTTGCAATTAATATTATCATCAAATATATTAAGAATATTACAATAAGTTAATAATACAGGGTTAGTTTTATATGAACAATTTAAAAATTATATTATTTTAGGCTTTATATTTCGGATATCTTTCAGATATCGGATATCCGAAATTTTGAAAATTAATATCCAAACCGCATCCGATATCCGCTTTTTCGGATCGGATATTCGATCCGAAATGAAAACTCGGATCGGATATCCAAAAATTCGAATCGGTTGCGGATCAGATTATCGGATTCTCGGATAGTTTTGTACAGGCCTAGTTGCAACGAGTGATGTTATTGGTTAACAACCAAGCTAAGAAACACTCAAATTAAATTTAATTACAAAAAAAAATTCATTAATAATTAATGAACCTCCATGGTATTTATAGGCCAATCTCCAACCTATAAAAGTAAGAATGAAGATCAACAAAAGAAAATATAACATTCACCTATATAATAAAACTCCTTAGTCAACTAAGATTCGACCAAGTCAAGCCTTGATCAAATATGAAAATTACACTAAACCAAGAAGCAATCTCACGGCTAAAATGAAAATAATTGAAGACAAATAAATTAAAATCCTGAGTTCCTTTCTTAAACAAGAAATTTTTTTAAGTGAAAGGCAATAATAAAAAATCTATACTTAAACTTTAAGAAACTTCCAAGAACCTTCTAGAAACTTCAAAAATCATGCATTTCCTGATAGGGAATCCGGATCCCTGTAGAATGACCGATGGATTGGTGATGATGGAGGTTGTACTACTTGTAGAATGACAGAAGATGGATTGGTGTTGGTAGTTTTGTTTCCCTTTCCCCTTCTTATGTCTATAAGAACATTTTCAGACCCTTATTTTCTATCTCCTTGTATCCTTTTCTTCATTCCTTCTTGAAATGACCTCTAAAATATTTCTTTTTTATTTTTCATTGTTTTAATAGAATTGTACTAAAGATGACGCCCAATGATAAAGAATACTATCTTAATCAGAATTGCCCTGCACTTTTATATCCTGACAAAAGCATACTATATATAGTCTTGCAATCTACAATCATAACAATTAGAAATGAAAATAAAAAAAATAACAATGTGTCTATCCTAGACTAATAAAGCAGGGTCTTCTTCTTCATCTTGATGTGGCTGCGGTGAGGATGGGATGATAGGCAAACCCATGGAGAGAAAGACAGAGAGAGCGGCATAAAGGCGGATGAAAAGATGTCTGAGAAAGCTGCGAGAAACAGAGGGCCAAAGAGAGAGGAGCAGGATCCATGGGTGGAGATACAAAAAAACAGGGGTTGGACATAAGACAGAGAAAACGAATGCAATAGTAATGAGTAAGGACCATCCATCTTGGAATCCAATTCGTAAGAGGGTGAGAAGGTGACCATTGTCATCTTTAGTAAAACAAATCTTCAAGGAAGTGGAGAGATAGGCAAGCGTTGTAAAACAATTCTGAAGGAAAGCTTTGAGGAGAATTTGTGGGCAGGGATTGATGTGATCATAGAAAATGTATGCTAAATAAGGTCTCAAAAATTGGTTGACAAGAAGTAAAAGAACCCATCTTAGATCATAGTAGTATAAGGATTCCAAAGAATGTTCAAGCTGGGGTGCTTGGTTTTGCCTATTGTTGGTCCTGTTGCAGCAAAAAACCCGACAGATTAAGATCTTGAAGGAAGGCCAAATACAGAGGAGTATGATAGAAGGGTAAAAGTAGTGAAATATAGGAGCTGGACAGATGAAAGAGAATACGAGGGTGGTAATGAGGGGGAAGTGCTGCCTTTGCCCATACTGCACTACCAATTCGATCCATAGAATAATGAGGTAGCAATTATCAAGCTTATATAAGTACGTCTTGAAGGATAATACAAGGAAAAGGATCAATGCTGCAGTAAGCAAGGTAAGTTTGAAGAGGCTTTGTAAGGAGGGATAAGAGGAAAAGAAGAGGAAAACTTCTGGCCTAGACATATTGATGATAATTAAGAGGATCCATTTTAGTTCAAAATAATTAACTTCTTGATTTGACTGTTTTCAGGCATATTTTAGTGGTTTTTTTTAGAAGAATGATGATTTTTTTTTTTTTAGAATGCGAGGCTGTTGAGTTTACGGTTTCCCTGCTATCCGCCTTTTAAATGCAAGTGCTGAAACATGTTATTACCTATGACCTTCAGCTGGTGTCATCCCTTTTAAAAGTTAAAAACATTATCAATTGGCATCGAAGAAATTCCTATGTGGATCCTATATGACGTAATATGCCACTAAGTGCACATTTTCAACCGAACTCAACTTTAGTTTTCTACCTAACTTTATTTTTCCAGTTTGTAGTAGTTTAGTTTAAAACCTACAAGTTTTTTGTTTGTAGTTGTTTGTTCTTTTGTTTTGGTTTGAGATAAAATGTTTTCCTGGAAAATAATTTTCTCATCTTTTCCATTTTTCTTTGTTTGGTTTGTGAATGGTGGAAAACAATTTTTCCCAATGTTAAAATGCATCATTAATGATGAAAAACATTTTTCTTTATAATACAAATGTAGTCAGAATTTATCTTCTTTTTATTTTCCTTTCATCCATCCTCACATTCTTACTCTTATATATATATATATATATATAGATACTTTTTTTTTTTTTTTTTGTACTTTTCTTTAACTTTATTTGTATTGTATGCAACTAATAAACAAAGAAAAAATAAATTGCAATTGTACTTTTACTTGAAAAAATGTTTTACATCAAATTAAATTAAACCGTGCCTCAATGTGAGCTCTATCTTTCATTCTATAATAAAAGCAACTTCCACTTTGAATTTTACATCGTAAGTATGTTTAAAAAAAATTTATTTATGTTGGTCATTTAAAAGAATGATCTAACCGAAATCCAAAAACCTACTATATAAGATTTATCTTAATGCATGCTTGTTTTCAAAGCATCAACTTTTTGGATTTGTATATTTTTCTTGCCTTTAATTAATATCTCTTTAGTTTATTGTTGTAAATTCCATTTAAAATCTTCATTTTGAGGAGTGAAAAATTTGGACTATGAACATTCTTTGATAAAGATACCATAAATTGTGAGATTAATTTTCACTCTAAGAGTCTAAGGTTCTTTGGGATAGAAATTCTCTTACCCTGTCCCTTAACTTCTAGAGAAACATACCTTTAACTTAGACTATATTGATTTGTGAGAGATTTCGGATTGATGGAAACTCTCATTACCACTTTTTAAATTTTTTTTTTCAATTCTTCCTTGTGCCCAAAGGAGTATTAGTGGAATATCAAAGTATTCATTTTGGTTAAAGAGTTGATGAATAGTTGATTACTTGACTACACAGTAGTAAATTTTTTCCTTTTTTAGAGGATAACTTGATTACGTAAGTTCAAATAAGAAGATTGATTACGTGCCATAAAGTCGTTTCTTTTGAATAAAAAGGAGTAAAGGGGAGAGCTCGTACAGGGTTCAATGGTTTGATTACAAAGATTGCATAAAATATTTCTTTCTTGTGTTTGAAAGAGTGGGCCAATCAGTGGGGTCTATTGTATGGACTGCACTACATTACAACATTCACCAATGAGTCAATGACTAATGACATGTAAATTTAAGATTTTTCTTTCTTCTTACTCCGTATTATTGCGACTTTGCGAGTCTAATAAAATTAAATGAGAAAATAGACTTATAAGTTGTGATAAAATTAAATTAAGGTTAATTAACTTTAAAATTAGGGCTAATCCGTAGTAAGTTCCAATAGGGTCTAGCAATATCTTGGGTGATTTCCATAGAAAATGCTCAAAATACTGAAATTTCCTAATTAAACCCTTTTTACAAAAAAATTCCCTCCATACTGTTCATATATATATATATATATATATATATATATATATATATATATATATATATATATATATATATATATAGAGGAAGGCTCATGTAAGAACCCTCCTCTATATAAGAACCCAATCTTATATAAGAACCAATCTCAGCCCT